TTTTTTTTTTTTTTTTTTTTGTTAAAGAAATTTAATTTTCTATTTCCTTATTGTTGGAGGGGAAGGGCCGAAAGAAAAAAAACCAGTACCGTATGCATAGCTGTTGCGGTTTTGAATTGGTTTTTTGATGATAGTGGTTGTAATTTTATAGAACACCATTCCAGTGAACAGAACACAGACGGCTGCTGTACAGAGATCAACAAGAGAATGGTGAACAAAAATGGAACATCAGCAGCAGCGTCACTGAAATCTGCGGAAGTAAGTGACGGTGAAGATGAACAGCCGCTGGTACCGAACAAAGTGCAAACTCGATCGGCGACAATGGTAAAAGTCGACGGTCAAAACTGCGATTCTGTGATCCGGGAATATGACCGACTGGTACTGGGCATCGATCCAAATAACGCTCTTCGGAAGACCAGTTAGTTTCTTAAAGTTACTTACTGTCCATTTCTGTAGTTGTCTGTGGTTATTTAGTCCCTTCAGTTTGGTTCTAATCGACCTTCTTACCACTCCTCCCTGATCCAATCTCCAGTGTTCTTTTTTGTTCGTTTTTTTTTTTCTCTGTAGATTTTTGAAACTATTTTCGAGAGAACTCCTTGACAGGATGGTGCTGAATGTCAGAGGTAATTTGTTAATTATTTGGACTTAAAAAAAAAAAGAAGAAGGAAACTTGGTTAGTATTGTTACTTTTGCTTTTTTTTTTTGATACTGATGTTAACTCTGTTATTTCAGAGTTTGTTCTTATGGGTGAGATGTCGGATTATTTGATCAATGAAATACTGGATGATGCTGACTATTTGTTGGTATGCGATTCAAAATCAACAGAAGCAAATCGTCGCCGTGCAGAAGCCTGGAAAGCGTTGTTGAACAAATTTGAACGCAAATATCCTGGATGTAATATAACACCAGATATGGCACGACGACACTTTCATTACCATCGTAAACGAATTCAGGCACTAGTTCAAACTTATGAAGAGTAAGGATTTCAGGAGGATTTTCCTTTTACCGATTTTTAAAAGTTACTATGCACTTGTTGCGTACTTTTCACTGAAGTTGTGAAAAAGCAATTTGAAAGTTAAATAGGATTAGAAAATGATGAAATTTTTACATTGGATTATTTGAAATGTTCAAGGATTTGGCTGGTAGATTTTTTTCAAAATTAAATTAACATAGCAGTTGGTATTTACCTTGGTGAAAATTCTGAGTTCTGGATGATATTGTCGAAAATTTAGTTCTTTAAGGCATCAAAAAAAGAAATCTGGAAATCGAATGGAAGATCCTCGGTCAAAATTTACTGCGACAGAATCTGCTGTGTACAATTACATGATCAAATCCGGATCTGAGCCAACCCCTAGTGGTCGTTTTAAGGTAAATATATGAATCGAGCTGATTCCGTTTTCTTTTTTTAATATTTTAGACAAATATTTTGAAGAGGTTAAAACTTTCTTTTTGAATTTTATTCTGGAGTGATTGCGACTGGTCAAAAGATTACGAGCTTCAAAAGTTTTCCAATCGAAATTTTTTAATTTAGGAATGTAGTTTAGTTTATTCTTCTTCTATTTTTCTTTACTTTAATTCTAGCGGAGTAATTTTTAGTATAGTATTTCGGAGTATTTTTTTGTTTAATTGGTCTTTTTTCATTTAAGTTTGCTTATCATCAGCTTCGGAGTGCATCGCAGTCAAATTTTTTTAAGGTGCTGCTGATTGCCTTTCTTTTGAAAGGGAAGAATTTCGTTTGCAGCTTTTAACAATTGTATTTGATTTGAAATAGTTCCTTCAAATTGTTCTGTCAAGTTAGATATACGAATGGAGACACATCTAGTTGTTCTACATCTTTTGCATTTTTTAGGCATGTAGAACCAAGAATGATAGCTTTTCTGGTGTTACTTCTGAAAGCATTCCCGAAAATTTGTCTGTAGTTGCTGAAGGTGAGTGTAGTTTATAATCATGACCGTTTGAATGTTTCAGTAGCTTTTATTGTCTTGGAAGTGACTTCGATAACGTTACGATTCTTTAAGCAGCAACCAGTTCAACGCTGAATGATGAAGGTGTTGATGGGCGGGAACGTCAGCCGACTATGACACCTACCTTTACCCTCAGACTTTTGGAGGAAGTCAAAAAGAGCAGAGGAATTTTGAAATGCGCTAATAACCGAGGAGAGTCAAGGAGGAGGAAACGAATTGAGTGGCAACGGATTAGTGAAGAACTGAATTCACAGTTTGGTACTGCATATACTGTTATGCAGATATATAAGAAAGTGGAAAATGTTAAGGGGAAGGTAAAGCAGAAGTTGGAAGCCATGAAAAGGTTATTTTTTCTATTTTCAAATTTTGGGTTAGTATTGTTATATTTGGTTTTTGCTGCCAAGACTGACTGTAAATAAGGTAACTGAAAATTTGTAGTTTGCGCGACGACCGAGTTGCAACGTTGGAAAATTTCACCGCTCCTGAACAGTTTTTTATGGAAAATATGATGGATGGGTTAGATTTTGAAGCGAGTTCTCAGATGGATGAAGAAGCTGAGGATGACCAAAACCATGATATCTTGTCACAGTTTGGTATTGGCTCAAGAGTTGATCTCAGTGGTCCTCCAGTTCCTCAGATTAAGGTCACTCATTTTCATTCATTTCTTAGCTGTTGGGCTAGGGTTTTTAAGTTAACATGAGTATTTTGAACGGTGAAAGAGGACATTTCAGAAGATCTCAAAGTCGTTGTATAATGTTTATTGTGTATGAAGAATACTGTATTTAACGATCTGTATAGAACAAGTAGCTTTAGGTTGAGAGTGAAGAAGCGTTCCTTCCAGCTAATCTGTTTGCAATTGCTTCATCTTCGGATGCTTCACCATCTAGCTCTACAAAGCGAGTTTTTTCAAACGCTTCGGTTGCAGAGATGGGCTTGGTTATTGACCCGTTGTCAGATCATATTAGGACAAAAAAAGGTGTTCGATTAAAGTTTGACGTTGTTTATTGTGTTTACTTTTTTTTCTCATTAGGAACTATTATCAAGTTTTTAGCCTTCTTATCAATAATTTTTTAGCTAGGTTGTCTCCTGTTGAGTCTCTATCCAACGAATCTCCTATTCCGATAAATCTTTTGTTACCGATGGTGACGTCAGACCACTCGAAGCCGAACTCACAAACTTCTTCTGTACTATTTAAAACTTTTTAAAATCTTTAATCTTTCCAATTTTCACGATTGGTAAATATTTTAATTCATTAAAATGAATTTTGCTCTTACTGAGAGTACCCAATGAGCTGTACTGTTTTTGTAGGGTCCAACGCTGTCATTTAGAGAGGAATTGGTCTCTTGTTTATCCCAGATTCCAACAGAGAGGATGCAGGAAATCCACCGAATTGTTAAACACGAGATTGATACAGCGTATGCTCAGCAGATTGCCGACGAGATACTCAACAGGTTTGATGAAGCTCACAGAGGAGGAGTTATGAACCGGATTCTGGAAGTTCTAAAAAAAAATTAATAAGCTGTTTGTTTTGTAATTAAAGTGCATACCAAAAAGAAAAAGTAAAAGTAAACAGGTATAATTAAAGAACTTCTGTAATTGTTGGATATTTCGCGTTTTTAGGAAGCTGATGTTTAGCCATCCGGCGAGTAAATTCATATCATGCACTAAAGAAAGGAGGATGATGGATAGGAACAGAGAATCTGAGAAGATAAAACACACACTTTTCAAATTAGGTTTGATTATTTAGAGAATTTCTGAATTCTGTGAACATTTTGGTCTTTTTTTTTTGCGGAAGTGTAATTTGAATCATGCAAATAAGTCTTTAAGCCAGTGATTATACTTTCGTTTTAGTTGATTAGTTGGTTTTGGGGTATTAAAAGGGGTAATTTTGGCTGTGAACAGTGAAATAAAACACCATTTATGAAGGATGCAGCAAAAAATTAAACATTCATGAAAACTTGTTTCATCAAACAGTTTTAATCAGGGTTTTTTCAGTGAGTTTTCAATTGGGTTTTTTGAAACTTGCTGATTATTTGTATAACTGTGCACTTCATTGATATTAAGATGGAGTCACTTAGTGTATGCATATTTCTGAACTTTGTAATTATGTGAGGCAAATGCCAAGGTTGTTGTATACCATTCCAAAGTTAACATACCTTTGTTGTTTAATATTGTTTTTTTTTTGTCTTATTTTGTTCTTCTTTCTCTTTTTTATGGTTCTTTTGTTGATATTTTAATGTTTTTATATACGTTTGCTGTGATAGCAGTTTTTTTCTCTCCCTCTTTTTTTTTTTTTTAATTTTTTGCGTTGTTATCAGCCACAATGATTATGACGTCAGTGATGGAATTTAATATTGAGTTTGTTCGTGTTTTGTTATTACTTCATCAAGAGAAAAAAAAAGGAAGAAGGCCAAGCTGTTTTGTTGTTTCTTTATTCCTTATGGTTTATAAAGGATGAGAAGGAAAAACAGTTGCTACACTGACTAATTTAAAGGTTTCTAAATGTGGCGCTTTAACGAGGTTTGGAATAGTATCCATAACAAAATCGGTTTTTTTCTGGGGTGTGTAGATTTGCTGTGTACTTTGAAGATATTTGATACTTGTAGTCGTATTTGGTTATTAATAATTGTAGGATTTGAACTTAGAAAGCTCAAATTAATACCAGTAGGGCTTTACTACTAGTTTTGCTATGATTTAAGTAGTCAACATTTTAAACGGCAAAAGCTAAACATTTTGCTGTTGCTAAGATAGCGTCCCAGCTCTTGGGCTTTTGTCTTTTTCGAAAAATTTAATCTAGTCTTTTGGCGTCTGATGACTACAATGCTCCTTCTTAAGAAATCAAACTGCTTAACACTGGCGTGTTACTGGTTTCGTGACGTTTGTAGAGATCAGGGTTTTTAATTTTTTATTCTTGGGTCTCTTGCCAGTCGTACTCACTGCAAGTTTTACAAAAAGTTAAATGGTCAGAACTTCATAGATGTAGTGGGTTTTTAGCAGTAAAATGTGAACGGTTATGTGGGCATTATGAGCATCGGTCTGTATCTGTTTAGGGGCAACATAATTCAGCTCGGTAGGCTCATGTTTCATTGTGCTATTTGCCTCTTGTACCGCAGATTAGCACGCATGTGTGGCTGGATCGTTGTTTGAACTTGAAGCAGTTTTGACAACAGAATTCGCATGTGAAGAGCAAAAAGTATTGTTGGCAGGCCGTTACTTGTTAAAAGTGTGTAGTAAGATTGGCAGAATGCAATTTTAATTTCCTACTTCTTATACCAATAAGATGATTAACTGGAATTGTAATGAAGGAAGAAGCTGCTGTATATAGATTTTTCGTTAGATTAGTGATGTTTGAATCCTTAAAAAATTTTTTTTGTTATTTGCAGTCATTTCCTTCAGACGTTAAGCAGCTTTATTTCATCAAAATTTTACCCATTGAGCTTGGCACTTTATGGAACCTTTCACCTTGCTAGGAT